GGGGATGCGTGAGAATTCTCATTTAAAAACCTTATCAGTGGGCTGGCGAGATAGCTCAGTGGACTAAGCACCTGTTTAGGCAAGCGCAGGACCGGGGTTCGACCTCTGGCACCGCATGCTGCATTGGCTCTGCCCCTGGGCGCACTGAGCAGGCCACCGCGTCTGGCTTGGTGATGCACGCCTGTAATCCCAGCGCTGGGGAGGCTGCAAACAGGAGGATCACTACAAGTCCAAGCTGCGTAGTAAGACCCTGTACCAAATACATAAAAATAAATAAATAATAAAAACGTTATCCATGCCCGTCTGCAGTCTATAAAGATTACACTCATTATGGGGAGCTAATGCCCTACTGAGACCGAACCCGGCATCCTTTGCCTTCCACACGGCTGAGCCCCATGGCGGCTCAGTGGCTGGGCCCGAGGGTTGGAAACACATTCACCTTGCGCTGCTTCTGTCCCTCCCACTCTCCAGGTGAGCCTCATGGGCACAGAGGTTAAGGGACAACAGAAACTGACATCACCAAGGCAAGTTCGGCACTCAAGGCCCTGTGGCAAAGGCCTCAGAATGCAAAAACGGAATTAGGCTGCCGGTCTACCTCATTATCCAGCGTCGCCAGGCGCGTTCCAGGGCAGGCACAAACGAAGCCCGTGCCTAGGAGATGCATTACCACCCCAGGGACCTCCCACAGTGTCCTCATGGAAGTCATCAAAGTCTGGCCTCTGGTGATAACAGGCCAGCTCCGCCCAGCCCATGTCACAGCCTGTGAGTCAGCGGTGACACTCGCCTTCTCTGGGTGCTGGCCCTGTTCCTCCTCTGGCCACTCCAGAGGGGTTTGTGGGGCTTCTAAGAAAGACTGAGGCCAAGGGTCAGGCCAGGGGCACAGGAGATGAGGCCACACTAGTGTCTGTGGCAGCAGGGGTGGAGCAACGGGAGCAAAGTGATGTCCACTGCCCCAAACTCAGGGAGAAAGACCACCTGTGTAGCTACCCACTGAGGACAGAGAAGCAGGACATGGCCTCACTGCAGAATGGGCATTACTGGGCCATAGAAAGGAAGGGAATATTCCCTGCAACCCTGAACGTATGATGCTAAGTGAGAGGAGCCCAACACAGAATGTTACAAACTGGGTAAAACATCCAGGATACTCAGCTCCATGGGGACAGCAAATAGAATCATGGCTACTAGGGCCTGGCGAAGGAAAAGGGAAGCGCCAAAAAATAGTCACTGCCTCAGAGCAAGCTGACAACTTGAACCAGATGTTAGATGTCTACACTCACTAAAGCACACCTGTGCTTCCACAAGCTGTGCTGTAGCCACACCCCTGCAATCCCAGCCCCCCCTGGAACCCCTGTAATCCCACAACTCACTATGTAGCCAAGGCTGCCCTCAAACTTTCACCAATCCTCCTGCCTCAGCCGCCTACAAGTGCTGGAATTATCAGCATGTGCCACCAGGCCCAGCAAACCCAACATTTTAAGTGAACTATTAGAATAATATATGAACTATACCTCAATAAAGCTATTAGTAAAAGAGGAAAAGAACACTCGCAGGGGAGGAGGACATATTCTAAAGAAGCAAGTTCTAAGATGGTGGAGTGGTAAGCCACAGCGAAAGAGCCTCTCTGAGATTTGGAGTCCAGACCCTGGAATATAGCACTGTGAGGAGGATCAGAAGGAGGGAAGTGAATGACCTGAAGCAAGAACTGAAGTCCACGGGGAGAGTGAAGAGAGAGACTTCCATGAGGAAGAAGGACGTGGCAGGCTGCCCTTTCTCCCTGAGCCCTGACTCGCTGAGAGGAGGGAGGCTCAAAGCTGCAGGCCCAGGGTAACGACTGTGACGGCCCAGAGGGCCCCCAGAGAAACACGCCAGTGGGATGGAGCGTACTGCATTGGCTGGTGAGTTATTTGGGCTCAAATGTCCCCCCAGGAAAGGGCCATTGGCCAGAAGCCTCCTTGCAGAAAGAGCAGCTGAGCTCAGAACTCAGAGCAGCTGCTGGCTTCAGTGTTGGGGTCAGGGCGCTGGGCTCAAGCCGGCAGGAGGTCAGGGAGCAGAGTTCAAGGCAGCAGGAGATACATGGACTGCTGTAGGCTGAACAGGTCTGCAGCCAGAAACCAGCCTGAGCTTCACTGGAACTAAAGCAGCCAGGTGCCCCCAGGTTACCTACCAACCTGCTGCAAAGCGACAGCTGGTCTGCTGGGACTAACCAATGTGGACCTGAGCCGTCTGCCCATGTTGTCTACCAGGAATAGCAGAGACATGCCTCAGAGTGGACATTTTTTTCTCATTTTGTTCTCTCTGTCTCTTTCTCTGTCTCTCTGTCTGTCTCTCTCTCTCCTCCCCCTTCTTCTCCCTCTCCCTCCCCGTCTCCCTCCCTCTCCTCTCTCTCTCTGCCCCCTTTTTCCTTCTCTCCCCTCTTTCTTCTCTCTCTTTCTCTCTCTCCCTCCCTCTCCTTGTTCCTTGATTGTTTTTCTTGTATTTATATGAGTGTATATCTGTTCTCGTCTAGATTTCTTCCTTCTCTTTCTCTCCTGTCTTCTTCACAAGGTTCCCAACGTTTGCATGATCTGCCTTTGTCCTCCAGCCTTGCTTCTAATCTCTTCCTCTTCTTCTATTTCTCTATTTCTCCCCTTACCACTTTTAAAATATTCCCCCTGAAAGTAAAAGTGCCATATTGAGGACTCATTTACTGCATAAGATTTTCTGGTTTGTTTTAGATTTTGTTATATAACCACAAATCCAGTTCATGTGGTTAAAGGTGGCAAATTGGTGGTTACATAAGTGTGTCATTTTCTAAGCCATGTCTGATGCTATTGTTATTGCTTATTGTATCACATTAGCTAAAGTGATATAACTCTTCCTCGTATATGAAGACTGAGATTCCTAAGGCCCATAAAAAATACTATAGGCCAGTGCCGAAGAACCAGGCAACGGGCCTAGGAGGCAACTTCTCATCCCCAATAAACTGAAATGGTGGGATCTCAAAACAGACTCGGAATACAAAGCCAACTACACCTGGAAGACATCTCTGAGCAGTAGTCACGTCCTAGTGGTTCTAAATGTTAGCAGTAAAGCTACCTGTGAAAGGCAATTTACAAGCATCAGACTAGGAATTACACTTTAAAAAAATAGACAATGAGAAGACACTTAAACAAGATACAACCCCAAACTCAAAGGCAAATCCAAGAGGTAATAAGGTAGAGCAATCCAAAACTCCACCCACCTGGACTCTCTGAAATGCTAAGAGTAGAAGTAATAAAGCAGATTAACAATACTCTAGCAAAACCAAAATCAGAAATAATTTCTCCCATAACTACAGACATGGAGACCACAGTGAAAGACAAGCTTGGGCTGGTGAGATAGCTCAGAGGGTAAGGGAAGGGCAATAAAAGAATTCAACTATATCTTGCACAGATACAAATTCCCTAGGATGAATGTGAACATCATGTAGACCTAAAACATACCCACAAACTTAAGTAATCAAAAAAGAAGCAAGTGCTACAGAGCACTTGGAAGGAAGTGGCTTCTGAGCTGAGTCTTACAGGGTCAGGGGAAGGCTGAGTCTAAGGATGTCCCTGGTAGTGGACAGAAAAGCAAGGTCAAGGTCAGATGAAGGAAGGTCACAGCCAAAGATTATGATAGCAGGAAGAGCAATGACTTGGAGCTTGTGGGAGATGGTTTTTTAGAGAATTGATAATTTTGCAACAAGTGACACTTTCATGGGGCACAAAAGATGGCTATGCACAGGGAAGGAAAGTCTTCCTCTCTCCTCCCAGGCACCCAGCTCCCTTCCAGGCAAACACTGTGGCTGGTTTCTCATACACTCTTTACAGAATACATCAGCGCCTATGAACAAATGCTTGTGTATGTTCTTATACAAACAGGACAGGCCTTATACAATGTCTAGTGCTTTGCTTCCAACAACAACAGAAATGTTAGGGATGCTTCCAAATGTGTATGGGAAGGATTTACTTGTTTTTTTAAATAGATTCCTAGGAGGCACCCCATTTTTTTAACCAGTTTATCATTGGGCATTTGGGTTCTTTCTTGGTTTTCCTCCTCTGCAGTTTTTACAGAGTGTTTCCCTTGACATGTGGCACTTCGCACATGTATAAATTTGTCTGTGGGTGAATTCTCAGAAGTGGAATTGTGACACTGTAGTTGGTACTCTCTACATGTTGGCTGTTATTGTCACACTGCCCACCCTGGTACCACTCCACACTCCCCTCTGCAAGGAGCCAGAGGGCCTGCTTCCATGAACCTGGAAGGACGAATTTGGAACAACTGTCGGGGAGCCAGCCTCTCCGGGACCTCATGCACGAAGCTAAGAAGTTGCGGTTGATCCTTCAAGCCATGGAAGCAGATCTATCATTGAGTCATGATAGGTAGGTCTGAGCGTATTTCCACGATGATATCAATAAGTTTGGAAGACATTTTTATTGTCCAACAGGCATGAGTGATAAGGTGAAGGACGCAAGAGGGGCCCAGGTATCCATTCAGAGTCCAGCCACACCAGGGATGGGGTGGTTATCTGTGGGGCCAGCTGCCACTCCAGACAATGGGGTTGCAAGCAGGCATCATTCCGCCTGCTCGCCATCCCCTAAATCTTACCTTTCCTCTTGTTCTCTTTTATCACCTGCTTCCCACACATTATTGGCCCCTTCTGGAACATTTGATCCTTACATAGTGGCATAAAATCAATAGCAAGGCATTTTTATCGAGCATGAACAGTTGACCAGTTGACAAGTGGGTGATACAGTTGCTTTATCTTTCTCTAAGACCCTCGTGAAGCAATCGGCTCGGCGATGGGCATGGAGCAGAGGGGTGGGGGGCAAAGCCACACCACAGATGCATTCCCCCTGGGCTTTGGTTTCTGAAGCAGAAAGGAGTTGCTCTTTGTTGACACACAGAGACAGGAAGATGGATGGGTGAGGACTGGGAAGGCACCAGGATATGAAGGACCAAGAGCCGCTCTATCCAGCAGTTCCAGCAGCGCTCCCAAGATGCGCGCTGCAGGCCTGGCACTCCTGGGGCTCGCCCTGAGGCTTCAGGCCGTCGCTGCTGAGCCAGAAAATGACACTTTTTGTTCTAAGAACCAGGTGGCCTTCAGAAAAACTTGCTACGAGTTTGTGCCACTCGGACGCACCTTCCGTGGTGCCCAGAGCTGGTGTGAAGGACAGGGAGGCCATCTGGTCTTTATTCGTGATGAGAGAACCCAGCACTTTCTACAGCAGCACCTCTCCCCGGACAGAGAGTGGTGGATTGGGCTCACAGGGCCCTGGGCACCCAACGGGGCTGCAGGAGGTAGGTGGGGTGTGCCGGGGTCGGTGGGAAGCTTGTGACCAACACATTCCTTATCCTTCATCACTCAGAGACCCATGAAGGACACAGGCCTCTTGGTCATCTTGCAGATTAAATAAAATAAATCACTGTACATGCCAGGCACAGAATCTGGTGCAATAACATTTCTTTTCGTGTGTGTGTGTGTGTGTGTGTGTGTGTGTGTGTGCACTCACATGTGTGTGCTGGGGCTAGAACTCAGCTCCTCATGCATGCTAGGCCACTGAGCTGCACACTACCCCAGCCCTTTGGGCACCTAATTCTAATTCTAGCTGTGGCTTCCTCATGTGGCTTCCTCAGTTCTTGCTAGAATAGTGCCAGCCACTTGCATGAGTGCTTCGTGATCATTGTCACACTGATCTTTACCAAAACCAGTGAGAAATGTCTTGCTGTTGTCCTCATTTTGCAAAGAATGAAACTGTTTCAGGAAATGACTTACATGTCTTTCCCCAGTTGGTATGACATTAAAGGAAGTTAGGGTAGCACCACACCTTTCTCATCAGATATCGCCTTTCGTGGTCCTCCTGGAAACCCCCCTCTTCGTCCCCCAACTGCCAGCAGTCACAAGCATCCTCCTCTGTGCCCCTTTGGGACTCTGTCCTCCTCTCTGCAACAGTGCGTTGGCCGTGGCTGGAGGGCCGGAATGACCCGTTGGTGTTTAATCCTGATGCCCAATAGGTGGGCACTGCAACTGTCATGTGAGAGTGAGGATAATGCAGAGGAGCCTCCTCATCCAAGATAACCTGAGGACGTGTGGCAGAAAGGTGTCAAGCAACTCCTTCTCCTGCCGTGTCACAGAGGCGCCCAGGGTTCTCTTGGCTCCTGCAAAAACCACTTAGGCTCAGAAATGAGTAGCTTGGTCTGATCTGGGAACCCACAGAAATACACAGAGTACATGGAAATGTCTTTAAAAGCCAAAAGTTGGGGAAGATCTTTAGGGCAATTCATAGCCAAGGGGGTTCGAGTTTTCCAGATGCTCCTCAGGCAACGTCTGTTGTAAAGTTTCTTGGCTTGAAGATATGGTAGTCGTGGTGGTGCACACTTGTAACCCCAGCCCTTGAGAGGCTGAGGAAGGAGGATTGTTGTGAGTTAGAGACCAACCTGAGCTACAAAATGAGCTTATAAATAGCCTGAGCTGCACAGTGAGGCCCTGTGTCAAAAAGACCAATAAATAAATAAATAAATAAATAAATAGCATCTTATAAGATTTCCCAAGGGATACCGTGAGGTCGTTAGGGTCAGGGTGAGGCTGTTGAGGTTATGCTGCTAAAGGTTAGCACCCTTTCACTGTTCCTGTGGAAGCGAAGGCCAGAGTACTGATAGTAATATGGTAGCATTCATGTAAGTATATCTCAGGTACTCACCAGCGCTGAGATGTGGGGACAGTCAGCCTGGAATGACCTGCTAGAAGTTTAGTAATGAAGCCGTTGACAGATTGGTTTTTGGGAGATCCAGGAATGTTAGAACTCTGTTAGTAAAGACCATGAGTTTTCCAGATCACTTTTTTTTTTTTTTTCTTCCAGAACTGGGGATTGAACTCAGGCCCCTGCGCTTGCCAGGGAAGCACTTACTCTACTGAGCCATCTCCCAGACCAGTCCACAGATTGGGAAGAGGGTGTTTTAATTTGCCCCCTGTCATAGTGTTGGAAATGTTGAAAATATTTGTATGCATTTATGTTCTTTCTGAAGGTAATAATTATAATCCTGGAGGTTTGGTCACACATAAAAATGTTGATATTCATTGAATACTGAGGTATTCTTGAGATTCTAAGGAGCAGGAGCAGGGACAATGATAGAATTGAACAGTGGTCATGAATCACAAGGACAACAAAGAGGCATTGAGCAGAAAAGAAAGAAATGGTTGTCACAACACTGGGATAAATAGAAATCGATTAGAGCCGTGTAGTGTGGAGCGAGGGAGGCATGGGAGAGCTCGGCAGAAGGGTCTCATGCCCTGGCTTTTACAGAGGGCAGTGTCTGAGGCTCAGTCCAAAGGTAGACTAGTGTTATACTATTTTCCTATCCCAGATTCATCTTGCAACTGTCAGAAGACCTAGGAATACACTAACCTCTCCCTCCTCCAAGTTGTCAGAAAAAGGGAAAAATATTTAGAAAACAAGTCCTGGCTTTCTTTCTAGGTGAGCACTTAACGGTAGGCCATTTACCTCAAAAACAGAAGCAGGAAGAGCTAGCAAAAATCTGTTGTCGGTATTGTTCTAGAGACCTCCCTTCAGCCACCTTGAAGGGGCCAGGCAACCGAACAGGACTAAGTTGTAATACATTCCAGTCCGTGGATCTCTGGTGAGCAAAGCTGGCAAATGTGGTTGGTCACAAATGAAAGAGAGATTATGCAGGATGGACCAGGTCTGGAAGAAATTCACCAGCAGGCGTGGCCAGAGCAAGGGGGGAGAGAGCGGTTGCCTCTTCTTTCCACCGAGAAGAGACAATCTTCATCCAGTGCGGCACTGGATTCCCTGTTTGCCACAGAAACTGGTGTCTCTTCTAAAGGAAGATCCAGAGCTGGTGACCCAAACACAGGCTAAGGCACTGGCATGGGGACATTCGCTAGCACCTGTCCGACCCCCACCAGGTGGGAGTATTTCTGAGCAGTGGCTCCATTGGTGGTGCAGATGGCAGCTCTACTTCCATATGGGCTGACACGTAGGACCTTAATGGCTCCATCCGATGTTTCTGTCTCCAGAACCGCAAGAAATGGACCAAAAATCTCCTGGTGGTAAAAGGTCATATTTGGCTTGACAGCTGAGGTGATGGCTGGTCTAATGAAGTCATTATTTTTACGGCTTTTGATTGATTGATTGACTGACTGACTGATTGACAGGGGTATCAACCTCAGGACCATGCGCTTGCCAGGCAGGCACTGAAGCCGCTCAGCTATCTCCCCAGCCCTACAGCTTCTGATTTTACTATGTCACCCATCCAGAAGGGTGAAAGCTCCCTCCTTTGGCCCACTGCCGATCAGATTGTAGACTCGCTCTTCAGCTTGGGGGTGATCAGAACTGAGATCACTTCCAGGGTGCCAACTCCACCTTCAGCAGCCCTGTCCTAGCTTCTCCCAGGAGGACAGCAGTTGCAAGGGCCACATGGCACTGACCAGCACTCCAGCGCTACCCACGTGGCTGACTCGGGGTATTTTCCTTCTTGGCATCTGGTGCGACTACCTCATAGCTTTTGGCTCCCGTGTGGGCTGGACACCCTTTGCCATGTCCTGACCCTCTCTTAGAGACATACTCTCCTGCCTCGGGAGTCCATATCTTGAGTCTTCATAGTGACTTTGTGTATCTGCTGTCTTCAATATCTTTGAAATTCTTCTAACCCAGAGTGGCAGCATGTGCCCCTAATCCCAGATCTCTGGGAAGCTGAGGAAGGTGAACCACAAGTTTGAGCCAAGCCTGGGCAACTTGGTGATTTACTGAGACCCTGTCTCAAAATGTAAAAATAATAATTTTTAAAAGGAACTGGAAGAAAAGGAACTGAGGCAGGGCATGGTGGCACACCCCTGTAATCCCAGCACTTGGGAGGCTGAGGCAGGAAGATCTCTTTGAGTTTGAGACCAGCAAGGGCTACAAAGTGAGCTCAAGGCCAGCCTCAAGTGAGACCCTGTCTTAAAATGACCAAAAAAAAAAAAAAAAAAAAAAGAGCTGAGGATGTGGCTGTGTGGCTTCGAGAGTAGCAGCACCATTCTAATGTGTTAAAGCCACATAAACTGCCTCCACCTTGACTCAGCCCTGACGGGCTCATCTGGCCAGGCCCTCCTGCACTGGGTGGCACACCTGTGACCTCCTGTCCCCTCTCATCTCAGGTGAGGCAGAGGTGGAAGCAGCATGACTTAGTGGAGCCAGCTTTTCAGGGCTCTCAATTGTGGGGTCTCAGACCTCAGGCCGGAGGGTGTGTGGGAGGGCAGCCCTCCCCTGGGCGGGGCAATGCGCCTTCACCCCTGCACACAGATTGAGCACCGCTGCACCCCAGGTGTTGAGCCCTTCCCCAGAAAGGAGCTAGGAGGACCCCTGCCAGGTCCTGGTGGCCTTGTTCCCCTCTCAGGGACTGGGACCTGGTTGGATCTCTCCAACGTGAGCTTTAGCAACTGGCAGCCGGGACAGGAGGCTCCCGCAGCCCAGACCTGCGGCCACATCAGCAGAGGCCTTTCCGCCGCATGGGCAGCTGTGCACAACTGTGCCCAGGCCTTCGCCTTCATCTGCGAGTTTGGTGAGCTGGCCCCTGCGCAGGCGCCCTCCTCCTCCCCGCTCTGGCTCCTGTCCTGCCCAACCTGTCCCACTGGGCCGGCCTCACCTGCTCTTGGCTCCCATCTCTCCAGCATTCTCCTCTGCCTCTCCTCTGCCTCAATTTCTCTAAATCTCTCCTTTCTCGTTCTGTCTCTCTGGTTCCTGTCTCATTACGGCCCCTTCTCTATGTCTCCCTGTCCAAGTGCCTGCCTGTCTTTCTTTCTTCCTTTCTTTGTTTTGTTTGGCTTGTTTGTTTGTTTTGTTCTGTCGAGACAAGGACTCACTATGTGTAGTTGAGGCTGGACTTGAACTCACTATGTAGCCCAGGCTGGTCTCAAACTCATGGTGATATCCTCCTGTCTCAGCCTCCTGAGTGCTAGAATTATAAGTACCTACCACTATGCTTGGTCTTCCTGTCATTTGCTGACCTGGCCTCTGTCTGGAACATTCAGACCCTTTCTCTTTCAGTCCCCTCCCTTCCCTGTGATGTCCTGCACCTTTCTGTGTCTCATTTCTATTCCCAGCATCCCAGCTCTCTCCCAATCCTCCCATCTCACAGCCTCAACTCCTCCTCATCAGTCACCTACTGGCCTGTCTCCCTCTGACCCATGTGTCCCCTTCCGTCTATGACAGAGGCTGGCCAGAGCCTGGCATGTGAAGGTCTCAATGTCACCATGCACTGTGGCTCCGGGGAGGTCATCCAGGTCCAGGATGCCATCTATGGGCGCCAGACGCCTCATTACTGCACCCAGGATGCCGGGCAGCCCTCGGACCCAGAGGAGGACTGCAGCTGGGTCAGCGTCAGGGACGAGGTGGCAGGTAGGACCCTCGGAGAGCTTTAACAATGTCCAGATGTGTGGGGACACTGGCTGGAGCAGCAGGGAGTGTGACTGACATCAAGCCCAGCCCGTCAGCAGGGACGCGTCTGTTCTCGCATCCTCTGCCAGCGCAGGAAATGCCAACATATGAAACAGAAGGTTTTGAATTTTGAAATATTTAAAACATACAGACAAAAATAAAAGCATACTGTGATGCACTCCCAGCTACTCCTTACCTTTGTCAGATCTTAACATTTGTTCAGGATTACCTTGTTTGTATACATATATAATCTCCCAATGTGGTGGCGCATACCTGTGATCCCGGCATTGAGGAGGCTGAGGCAGGAGGAGTGCTGTGAGTTCAAGGCCAGCCTGAACTACATAACAAGACTCTGCCTCTTAAAAAAGAAAGAAAAGAAAAATGCACAGCTGGGCCCGGCACTGCCCTCCTGCGATCCTAGCTACGCAGAAGGCTATAGCAACCCAGGCTCACGAGTTCAAAGGCAGCCTGGGCAACCTAGCCAGACCTTGTCTCAAAAGTCAGAAATCCAGAAGAGGGGGCCTGGGGGCGAGGCTCGGTGGTAGGTCACTTGCCTAGGATGCCTTCGATCCTCAGTACTGCAGAAGAGGGCAAAACAGAAAGAAAGGTGTTTGCTGACTACTCCTCATGACCCATATTCCTGCCTTCGCTTCTGCACCTTAAACTGCAAGCAGCACAAGGTGGCACAAGGCGTTACTGTATAAGTGAACAGCACCACCTCAGCAGCGCATTTTCTTTTCATTTTGCTGTCGGATTTTGCTTTGTGATGCATAGTCCATCTGGAAGCTCCGTGCTCCACTCTGCTGGTCCATCCGCTGCCCCACTGAGCGTGACCTCCCCCTCTGACAGTTGAGAGGTGACACGTGCCTGTTCATCCTTGATCCTAGGGCAGCCACTTGTCCTTGTGGGAGTCTCCCACGGGCTTTGTTTCTCTTCTCTTCTCTTTCTTTCTTTCTTTCTTTCTTTCTTTCTTTCTTTCTTTCTTTCTTTCTTTCTTTTTTGTTTTTTCTTTTGTCTTTTTGAGACAGGGTCTCCCTATGCAACTCAGACTGGCCGTGAGCTCACTTTGTAGCCCAGGCTGGTCTCAAACTCACAACGATCCTCTTGCCTCAGCCTACCGAGTGACAGATTATAAGCGTGCACCACCATGTCTGGCAGGCTTTGCTTTTCTACATCTGAGGAAATCTCTGAGCTTCACTTCCTCAGTGACAAAGGCCCAGGCTCAGAAGTTCTAGGAGCTTCTGGATCCCTCAGAAGTCAAGTCCTCGGAGATCGCCAGCCATCCTCCAGGACCCCAGGGGCCCTCTCTGGTCTGCTGTGGTCACTGCTGCCCATTCAGCAGGGTCCCAGGAAGGCAGGTGGTCTCTGCATCTCAGCTCCAGGGACACAGCCAAGGACGCCCGGGTGGGACCCTGGGCCTCACTGTGTGTGCCTGGCGACCCTCCCTGGCTGAGCCCCTGCCACCACCCGGAGACGCTTTCGTCACCGGGACTTTGCCCTCCTGGATCAAGGCACCAGAAGGAGAGGCTAGAAGCAGCTCGTAAGCCCTCTGTGACGCCCCTGCATGCTCCAGGCCTCCTAGGAGCAGGGCCCCCCTTACGAGCCTCCTTCCCCAGCGAGGCTGGTGTCTCCATATTCAGAAAGGTGGCAAAGAGAGAGGGGAGCTGGCCCTTGGTGAGGAGGCTGAGGAGAGGGCCTGGGACAGCCCTGCGACCTGCGGGCCCCATCACTGGCTGAGGGCCCCTCATCTGCTCCGACCCACAAGGCCCCGTGAGCCCTAGCACTGCACTGGTCACCACGCTGCCCGGGGGCACAGGCACGGATTGCCTGCTTTCCAAAGAGCTCAAAGTCCAGCAGGGACAAGGCGCTGCCTGCCCTGCAGTTACCTGCTGCGCTGATAAACACAGAGTGGCGCACGCAAGCTGCCTCTCATGTGCTGTGGGCCGCGTACTGCTCTGTGCACCGGAGACAGAGACGCCGCAGTGGGCAGAGCAGCTAGACCTCCTGCCCTCCTTGGGGGACGGCGGGGTGGCGCTGTGGATATGCAGAAGGAGCACAGCGTTTGGAGGGGGTGCGGGCCCCCCAGAAATCCTGCGGGTGCTGGGTGGCAGAAAGTAGGGCGAGGGCATGCAAGGCCTAGGGTTCCATCCCCATATGCGTGCACACGCATGCACACCACACACACAAGCACACAAGCACACATTCACACACGGTCTCAATGCAGAGAAACAAACGATCTGGGCTGGGGAGATAGTTTGGTGCTCTAAGCTTCTGCCTGGCAAATGCAAGGACCCAAGTTCAATCCCTGGTACCGCATGCCATGCCAGCCACTGTAATCCCAGCACTGGGGAGGCTGAGACAGGAGGATCACTACAAGTCTGAGCTGTGTAGCAAGACTCTGTATCTAAATAAATTCTAAAAAAAAAAAATTTTAAAGAAACAAACAATATTACAAATGCTTTATACCTGGAACTTGGTAGAAAGGCAAAAGCCTGGGCCTCACGCAGACCTGGAAGTCCAGAGTGGGGGGCGGCAGGTCTGCAATCTGCATCTTCACAAGCTCTCTGGGGACTCCAGCCTGTGCTGAGGACTGAGGTCCCCTGTGGCAGCCCTGTGCTGTGCTTGCAGCAGTCCCACCCCGCTGTCCTCTGAGTGCCCAGCTTGGTGCCTGGTCTGCAGTGTCTGCCAGCAGGCTCGGGCAAGGCAGTGGGTGCTATGTGCTCACCAGTCTCCAAAATGCGCTGCTGAATGTTGTCCTTGTGTCTTGCATGCTGTTCCTGCTTCCTCTGGGATCTGGGTGCTTCCCAGGCCAGTGCCAGGGGCTGCAGGCTTGCCAGGTGGCAGCAGACCAGACCTACTTTGGAGACCTGTGCCCCAGCCGGGGCAGCTACCTGTGGGTGCAGTACCAGTGCCGGGAAGGTGAGTCTGGGGTATAAGAATTTTATTTCCATGCTATGTACAGTTTTCCCCAGGAAGGAAGAAGAGGCAGCTGCCAACCACATAGGCCTCAAATGTACGTGAGTGTGCATGCGTGTGTGTGTGCGCGCGCGCACGCATAGGTGTGCTGGGAATCGAACTCAGGACCTTGCACTTGCCAGGCAGGTGCTGTGCCGCTGAACTATATCCTTTGCCCTCCCAAATGGTTTTTACCCCAGGACCCTTCAAATCAAATTCATGGGGGTGATCCCAAGCACAGAGAAGACAAAAGCAAGTTTGCTCGATTAGATGGAGCCAAAAGATCTCTCACCTTTAAAATTATAAATCTAGGACTGGCCAAATAGCTCAGTGGTGCAGGGGCTGCTGTGCAAGCAGGCACAAGGGCACAGGGACCAGGGGGTCAATCCCCGGGCCTGCCATGCCAGCCCTGCCCCCGGGGCACGCTGAGGCGGTAATTGAGACTGGGCATGGTGGCGTGCACCTGTAATCCCAGCACTTGGGAGGCTGTAAACAGGCAGATCACTATGAGTCCGATCCAGTAGTAAGACCCTGAACACCCTGTAGACTCTTCTCTAAAATACAGAAAAAAATAAAATTATAATTTTAGGGCCGGCCTGATAGCTCATCAGAACCTACTTTGGCAGATGCGGGGGCCGTGGGTTTGATCCCTGGCCTGCCATGCCAGCCCCACCCCCGGAGCACACTGAGACCACGATTTAGACCAGACATGGTGGCTTGGGCCTGTAATCCCATCACTTGGGAGGCTGAAAGACAGGAGTATCACTACGAGTCCAATCTACATAGTGAGACCCTGTAGACCCTGTACTAAATACAAAATAAATAAATAAAATTATAAGTCTTGAAAGCCATAAAAGTAATCTTATGTTATCACAATTTATAAAAAAACCCAACTTGATCATCCTACTTCCCATAAGGAAACATAATGAATTAAAATAAATTATGTCCTGCATTGTAAAATGTGGACATAGAAGTGGCTATAGGTAGTGGTATAGACACGTAGTTTTATAAAAATATAAGCACGTGCAATGTATTAGCCTCCACCTTGCTTCCTTTCACTAGTAATATGTCCTGGGCAGCTCTCCAAGTCACTGCCTTACTTTTCTAGTTATCGCACTGCATTCTGTCGTTGGGTTCTGTCCCTCCCTCCCACCGGCCACCCTCAGTCCAAAGCCCTCCAGTCCTGTGTGTCTCAGCTCACAGTGGCAGCGCTGCTGAGAGGAGATCGCTGCTCACCGGGGTGCAGGCTCACAGGGCGCATGCACTTTACACATCAGTGGACACCCCAAGTTCACCTCCAAAGAGGTGGCCTCACTGTGGGTCCAAACCAAGGAGGAGCACGCAGATTTGCCCTGAAGCTGGGAATCCATCCACGTGCTGGCCTTGTCTGACAAACTGCTCACAGCAGCAACTTCTGCTGAGGCCAGAGGAACAAAGAGCTCTGAAGGGAAGAGCTGCGTCAGTGGTGCCGAGGTCCCGGTGACGTCCGGGACAGCAGAGCCTGGAATGTAGAGGAGGGAGGGGTCCACAAGCAGGAAGGCTTGGAGGCCACAAAGGCCAGGCTCACCAGCCACGCTAGCTGCATGGCCCAGCCGGGTGAAGCACCAGGAATCCAAGTGGTTCCTGGGCATGTATTTGGGCAGCGATCCCATGTGGGGGTTTTGGTAGGGGACAAAGGGTGGCCTTTGGAGATGCGACCCGGCATCTCTGGCACCTGATGATCCACGGTTTACAGCTCAGGGACATGTTGAATCCAGCAGCCGTGGGAACCAGGTTTCCTGCTCCTACCCTGATTTCAAATATCCCGAACCCCATGAACTGGGTGCCCTGGTCAAGGTCGGTTTCTGATGTGCGCAGGATGGACTTTATCCAGCACCTGGCAGTTGTGCCCAGGCCTCGGTTGCCTCCCGAGCGTCCTCAGGTGGCTGAGTCAGGACCCTGGAACTTGGACTGGCCCAGGAAGTTGGGGACAGAGGGTGGCAAACTGTGTGCCCCTGGCCCGCCCTCTGTGCCTGCCTTTGAAGTCCAAACTTCTGACAAGTTGAATGTGCACTAAGTAGCCACAGCGAGGCATCTGCCACCGCAGCCAAGTAGGTGGCCTCCCATGTCCTTTTAACCCTTTTTACTTTCCCAATCACTAGACTCCTGACTGAATAGATTAGCATGCATTAGGGGCAGGTTGGAAAGAACAGACAGCTAGCAGGAGTCGTGTGGAGCAGTCTGTGAGACAAGCATCCTAAAAGGACACACATGAGGTGCGGAACGGTGAAGAGGTGTGCTCCTCTTGTGTCCGTAAACACACGTGTGTGCCTGTGTGCACGACTGCTCCCGAGGGGCACCTGGGTATTGGAAGCAACAGCTGCCTCCAGGCAGCTGCACTGGGGCCGAGAGACTGCTGGCAGGCGCGCTTGCTTTTCCAGCTCTGTATGCGTCCACTTCTAGATCTCAGTTCTGTATGGCCTGTAAATGAAAATAAAATTCCAAGGAACTTCCACAAGTAAAAATAAAATTAAGCCAAGCATGGTGATGCATGCTTCTTATGCTAGCACTCAGGAGGCTGAGGCAGGAGGATCCCAGGGAGTTTGAGGCCAGCCTGGGCTACATAGTGAGTTCAAGACCAGCCTGGACTACCTAGTGAGAGTCTACTTCAAAAATGACAAAAATAAAATGGAGTAAAACACTTCAAGTCCATCCACCAGATAGCGGTCAGGTAGATAGAAGAGAACAGCTTTTAAGCAGAGGGGCTCTACTTCTGCAGCCAGGGAACACGGCACCCTGTGTTTGTATCTGCAGGCCTGAGGCTGCTGGTGTCCAACGAGAGCTTCATCTTTGACAACGTCACCATCTCTCTGACATGGCTCCTTTCTCCCTACATCGGAAACCTGTCCTGCATCCTTAGTATGGGAGATGGCCACACCCTTGATCCCTACTACCCCCCCAGGTAGGTGGAGTCTCAGAACCTTACACCACGTTGTAGCAGTCAGTTTTGCTGCATAACAAGCCACCCACAATGTAGTGGCTTAAACAGTATTTCTTATTTCTCATGGTTTGGGCAAACATGGGTAGCTTTTCCTGTCTGGGCAGACTCCACTGGTGTGGGCTGGCCAAGAAAAACTGCACTGAGTCACATGCCTAGTGGTCTGCTGGATGGCGGTGAAGGGTCAGGTGGTCAGGTGCCCTTTCTACCCACAGGCTGGCTGGTGACACAGGGTTCCTAGCAGTGAGATCAAGATGCTAGTGTGTGTGTGTGTGTGTAGTGTGTGTGTGTGTGTGCACGTGTGTGTCTCTGTGTGTGTATGTATGTGTGTGTATTATTAGGGGATCGAACTCTGGACCTTGTGCTTGCCAGGCCGGTGCTTATGCCACTGAGCTGTCTCCCCAGCCAGAGGTCAAGATGCTTTTAATTAGGGTGAGCTTCTCCCATCACAGTGAGCAGCTGACTCTGGCCTGGCGGGCACCAGGCCCAGGGGCAGCAGATTTACCTGTCCAACGCGGAGTTACCACCCGAGCCTCGAGCCTAAGCTTCAGCGCCAGACAGCCCGGGCTGGGTCTCTGCCCACCGTCCGCCACCGCCTAGCTCTGTGCCTCAGGCACACTGCTATGCCTCTCTGAGCTACCCAGCTGCTGCTGGGGGACCCAGACCCTGCTGCAGCCCCGGGCCTCGCTGGGTTTCTGCTTCCTCCTGTGTCCCTGACGGTGATGGCTGCCCTGACAGATTCTGTTTCAAGGAATAAAATGGGATGTGGCTTCCGGGAAGGAGTCCGAGTGGACCAAATGCCCACAACATGCTCTATGGGACTTTTATTTGCTACTGTTTTACAAAGACATCAGTGGGAGCTACGTTGCACAATCCTTCACACACACACACACACACACCCCTCATTTTGGACTACCTGATTTGGGCATAGATGAAATTGGCTGTGCAGCCGCCAAGACCTTTAGTTACAAGAGGATGTTACACTGATAAATAAACCATGCTTTAAAACAGAAGCCGTTGGGAAGAGATGCTAAGTGCGGCCGCTGTAGATGGGCTGTGTGTCATATTACACCCTGGAATTTTTTTATTTGATTAAACTCTGAAAGAAACAATAAGCAACGTTTTCCATTTGCTATTTCTGCGCTCTTGCCCCGCAAAAGCTACTCATAGTCCTCTTTCCCTTTTAAAAGACCGTGCGCACCCCCCACCATCACCCACCCAAGGCAGCCGGTTTCTACTTTAAGGACTCGTTGGCCCTTGAGGCGTCACGCCTGGCTTGTGTCAGTTTGAGGGACCTCGGGGGCCGGGGGCCATCCCCGCTGCATTCTTGCCAGCGCTTGCAGCTCCTGCGCTCCAGCTCTAAGGTGCAGAACGGCTTCTAAGCACACAGGAGCCAGCAGCGCGGTGCTTTCGTGCGTGTACAGGCTCCTATTTCTGCTTAGCTCCTTGGTAGCCAAATGGCTAGATTTTTTTAAAAAAAAAATTATTTATTTGGCACAGGGTCTCACTACACAGCTCGGACTCGTGGTGTTCCTCCTTTCTCAGTCTCCCCAGTGCTGGGATTACAGGCCTGCGCCATTGCATCCGGTTTCGGTGGCCCCACGGAACACCCGGGGTTCCGGGGCCGTAGGTATGGGGAACCAAATCTGGGTCATTGCACTAGCCAGGCCCGCTTAGACCGCCGAGCTATCTCCCCAGCCAGGGCTAGAGATTTTTAAATTGACATTCCTGCTGGGTGTGGTGGTGCACACCTGTCATCCCAGCACTTGGGAGGCTGAGGCAGGCGGATCACTGTGAGTTCAAGGCCAGCGCCAGCCTGAACGGCATAAAGAGATGCTGCCTCAAAATAAATAAATAAATAAAAATAAAAATAATTAGGCCTTCTAGATCCATTGTCAGTACGCCCACGACCTCTGGCGCAGACTCCAAGCTCAAGAGCAGGCTGACCGAAGTCAGAGGATCCTCGCCTCGCTTTCGGCATGCCTCCTTTGAGCAGCAGTCTGTTTTATTTTTCTGTCTGAAAAGGAGCCCACCGGACAACTTGAGTAACTGAGCGCCCCCTGCTGGCACATGTGGGAATGGACACCGAGCTCGGCCCAGCGCTGTCTGGGCACAGCTGTCTGGGAGGTCCCGCCTTGCTGGGAATCTGGTCTTCCCTGCAGCTGCCACAGCGCAGCGCAAGCCTTGAGTGACCCAGAAGTTCACAAGCCACTGGGAGGTACCAAGGAGGGAGACGGGAGTGGCGTCAGAAGGGACGTCCCCGATGGAAGAGGGCGGAGGGAGGGACCAGACTCACGGGTAGGAGCAGCAGATGCAAGGGAAGGAAGACAGCTGGAGTGCAGGAGAGAGGAGGGAGAGAAGATGGAGGATAGAGGGCAGAAGACGGGGACACATAGCACCAGAGGCCGGGCGGCCACAGCACCTTGCGCGGACTTGGCTGCAGTGTCCGGGGAGGGGTGTTCCTTTGGGTGCGATCCTGGCGACTAGGGGCTTCCTGGGGACATGGGGACGCGCGCCTGGCCTCGGAGGGTGGCGTTTAGACCTGGGAATTGCGCGACCCATATAGCTAATTATTACCAGTGTTGCCAGCACTCGCTGAATGATTTTAGGGATTACACCAAACTATAAGGAAGAAACAACTAGGAGTTGATTCTTAAAAATGAGGGGCTGGGGAGATAGCTCAGTAGAATAAGCGCTTGCCTGGCAAGAGTTCAATTCCCGGTACCCTCCCCCCAAAAAAGGACAATGCTGGGCCTTGGAAGATAGCTTGGTGATCTAAGTGCCTGCCTGGCAATGGCAAGTACCCGGGTTCTATCCCCAGTATCACGTGCCCCGCCAGTCCCGTACCGAGCTGGCCACCAAGCCCAGGCCTGGTGGTGTACATCTGTAATCCCAGCGCTGGGGAGACTGAAACAGGAGGATAACTACAAGTCTGAGCTGCATAGTGAGACCCTGTACCAGATAAATAAATAAAAGATTTTTTAAGAGCCGGACAAAGAGCTTAGTGCATTAAAGCAGGCACAGAGGCCAGGAGTTCAATCCTCGGGCCTGCGTGCCGGCCCCACCCCCAGGGTGCACTGAGATGGCAACTGAGACTGGGCGTGGTGGTGCGCGCCTGTAATCCCAGCTCTTGGGAGGCTGTAAACAGGCGGATCACTAGAGTCTGATCTAGTAGTGAGACCCCAAACACTCTGTAGACCCTTCCTTAAAACACAAAAAAGAAAAGATTTTTTTCAAAGGATAATTCTATTATATTATTACTTAAAAGTGGATAATGCCTTTCTCTTAGTAGGCAGGGTGGCACACGGTGGTACCCTGTTATACAAAAAATGGTATGGTCGAGTTTATTACACTGGATACTTCTCAATCATTTTCTCCTTTAAACCTATAACAGTCCAGTGAGCCTGGCCTGCCCTCTTTCTGTGGATAGGTGGGTGGAGGCCCAGGCGCTGTGCTGAGGTCACCAGGTAGCTGGTGCACTCCTAGGATGGCATATTGCTGGTTGCCCACTGTTCCCCCGTGCCACAGTGCCTCAGTTGGACAGATGGTTTTGCCTACCAACCTGTTGACACCTTATCAGTGACACAGCAAAATGTTGTGGACTGTGAGGTTCTGGTAGCCAGAAATTACTAGCAAAGAACATTTGAGTTTTCTTTTTCCTTTTTTTTTTTTTTTTTAGACAGGGTTTCACTATGCAGTTTAGGGTGTCCTTGACCTCACTTTGTAGTCCAGGCTGGCCTCAAAATCACAGGAATCCTCCTGCCTCAGCTTCCCAAGTGCTGGGATTGCAGGCATGCACCAGCACACCCTGCGAGAAATGTGAGGTTTCTTCTCCACTTTTGTTTCTAAGCAAAGTTGCATCCCATCAAGGGCAAATATCCCAGCAGTAAAGGCAAAGCAGGGAGTATTGGAGCCTTCAACTACTTTTTCAACTTTATTGAAATAGAACATATGTACAGAAAAATGCATAAAAAGAAACAGCTTGACTCATTTTTATACAATAAATACACACATGTAACCAGCACCCTGATCAAGATACAAACATGCAGCGCTTGGGAGGCTGAAAACAGGAG